CAAGAGGTATCATTTCGTATCCTTTCAAGTGAACTGTTTATAAAATTCTAGTCTTTTAGACTTTTCTTTTGGCAAATGGAAATAATGTTGTTTCTGGCAACTTCCTCCGATTATGGGAAAGATTCATTCATGGTTATCTGGTGTTTTGATGTCAACCAAAGCGACTCCGTTATCTTCGTGAAGGGTTTTACGATTTTTCATGATGTCCGATATCCACTATGCCGATTTGCATAGAACTTACGAATGGTTATAAAGTGTCTCGATCGACGAACGTGAGATTCATGTAAAGCAGATTTACGGAGAATCAACGAATCAATGCAAGAGAAAATATTGAGTATCATCAACAAAATTAGATTTTTATGGAATTTCATCCAAAAGATGATAACCAAGAACGACGATCTCATCATTTTTTTATTGATTCTAGAGAGAGAAAGAAATTGGTTTAACAACTTGTCTTCGCTATCGAAAGCATCGTGGAAATTCACTTCTTCATCGTTTTTTTTTAATGACTGGTTATGTATTTGTGAATGTGTATTTCAATTTGCTCACTAATGATGTAATATTGATGTATCAACTACTGTATTTTACTTGAAATCAATGAATGAATCATAAGTTAAAAGGAAGAAGATGATAGTACAAGAAAAAACACAGCGATATTATCTTTTTGTAATGCTACTTTACTGATTAGTCACACAGGAGGTGGTACAATTTGTAATGCAGTTGTAATGTTGTATAATATAGTTATCAATTAATGCCATTATATATAAATAGATTATAAATGATATATGTCAGCTTTATAATTATTTTCGTAAAAAAAAATCAAAACAAGAATTTTAAAGTTTTAAACCACTAACATTTGTACTTCCAAAATTCAAAAAGGAGAAAGTTGGAATCCAATTCGGGTAAAGCCGGAATTTATTTTCCGATAAAACAAAATAAAAGGAGAAAGTTTCTTTCTTCTTTAACAAAAAAAAAAGGAAAAAGACAGAGAAGAGAGGAAAAATAAAATCTTTTATCCTTATGTCCCCAATGTGACACCCGACTCGCATACTTAGCCGAGACGGCAAGTCATGAAAAAAACCTATCAATTCTAACGGATACTTTTATAAAAATCAATATTTTATTCCATAACTCAAGTCTTAAATCATTACACAAAAAACATAATTCCAACTTAATAAATCCTTCACGTGAAAACCAATGTAGAAAATACTAAGTAAATTGTTTAAGAATCCAAACATAAATCCCGCTAAAACCAGCACCCGGACAACATCCACCTTGAGCCACTACTCGTTAAAATCGGTATCACCTGAAAGGAGAGAAGAAGGAGGGGTAAATAATTCCGGGAAAAAATTACTCAGTGAGATTGCTACCCACAACAACTCTAATACTTGAAAACAATAGGCAATCAAACACATTAAACCAGTCATAGAACATGCATCACCCAACTTATTACTAGCAACATACATTCACAACTAGCATTTCTACACCATAATCTCTTTTACTTATATATTAACTCATACTTAAACATTCCACTTTTCACATTTTCTA